GAAATAACCCAGAGTTTTGAAAAGGTCATGAAACTGTTCTTTAAGCATTTGGACGATCCTCACCACAAAGTCGCTCAGGCTGCCCTCTCAACCCTAGCCGATATTATCACCACCTGCAGAAAGCCGTTTGAGACTTACATGGAGAGAATTATGCCCCATGTTTTTTCCCGTCTGATCGACCCAAAGGAATTAGTCAGACAGACCTTCTCGACTACATTGGATATCGTCGACAAGACTTATGGTACAGATTCCCTTCTACCCGCTCTCTTGCGTTCCCTGGACGAACAGCGCTCTCCAAAAGCCAAACTGGCAGTCATCGAGTTTGCCATCAGCTCATTCAACAAGCACACCTCGAGTTCCGAGGGTTCTGCCAATAGTGGCATGCTGAAACTGTGGCTTGCGAAACTAACGCCACTGGTGCATGACAAAAATACAAAACTGAAAGAAGCGGCTATAACATGCATAATATCTGTTTATACTCATTTCGACTCAACGTCAGTTTTGAATCTTATCCTTAGTCTATCCGTTGAGGAACAGAATTCGCTGAGGCGGGCCCTCAAGCAGTACACCCCCCGCATAGAGGTGGAGCTGATGAACTTTCTTCAGAGCAAGAAAGAGAGACGGGTCAAATCCTCATATGACCCGTCTGATGCGGTCGGGACATCCTCCGAAGAGGGGTATATTGGGTCATCCTCAAAGAAGGCCCAACTTTTTGGAATGTATACTTCTGGTTCTGTAGATAGCGATGTTGGTAAAAAGTGGAGCTCCCTTCAAGATTTGTCCTTTGCAAAGGCGACTGTTGGTAATTTAAAGTCTGATTATGTTATGGAGGATTTGACTCATCATTTGGTGAAGAGCAATTCGGATCCTGATGTTCTCGCTTCGAATTACAAAAGTTTGCGGTTTTCGTCCGGTGATGTGATTGGGTCTTGGGCAGTGGATGATTGCCCAGAGACAGGGATATCTTCTTTGCCTCGTGTGGATATTAACGGGCTTGTTGGATCCGATCATCTGCAGAAGCCCATCAACTTTGGAGTGGAGAATGAACCTTTATCTGAATCTGAATCAGCACTAAATTATACTCAGCTCCCTGCCTTGAAATTAAATTTTGCTGCCGAAAGTGGTCCAAACATTCCACATATTCTTCATGTGGTGAGTCAATATACTTGTGGTCCTAAAATGCTAGTTTTCTCAAACCCTTTATAAAACTTGGCCCCTTTAAATGCTACTTTTAATCATTGTAGAAAGAACCTCAATGCAGTTGTGGATGTTCTGTCTATTATCTTATTATAATTTGCATATTTCTGTCTAATTTTGAGTAGATTTGTAATGGAGATGATGAGAGTTGTACAATAAAAAAGCGGGATGCACTTCAGCAGTTGGTTGAAGTTTCTATATCCGGAAATCACTCGGTTTGGAGCAAGGTATTATTATATGTTCTTAAGTTGTCTCTTCGAGGTTTGCCTGTTCACCGAATATTATATTTTTCTAGTCTGTTTAGCAAATTTAGGTCCTTATAGGCCACTAGAGCTGTTCCACGTACCTGAGAGTTGCAATTTTACATTTTGCATTCATTACTAATAATCGGGATACTTTCAGTACTTCAATCCGATCTTGACAGCTGTACTTGAAGTTCTCGATGACTCTGATTCATCAATTCGTGAGCTGGCTCTCACTTTGATTGTTGAAATGCTGAAGCACCAGGTCTTGGTTCTGTATCTATGGATGTTTGATTGACATACAGTAAACTTCTTCTCAATTTAGCAATTTTTCATCCATGTGAACTTAATTTATTTTCTTTTCTTTTCTTTTCCTTTCTGGGTGTCCGTGTTTATCAACAGACAGATGCCATGGAAGATTCTGTTGAGATCGTAATTCAAAGGCTGCTTCATGTGACCAAAGACAGTGCTTCAAAAGTAATTGACTTTCCCAAAGCTATAATTGCTGTTACTTTTTGTTTTTCATCTTCGTTATGTCATATTATGGAACTCAGGTCTCCAGTGAATCAGAGCATTGCTTAACTATTGTCTTGTCTCAATATGACCCTATCAGATGCCTCAGTGTAAGTGTTATTAGCGCTTTATCTTCGTGATAAGATACTTCGTGCTTCTAGTTCGAAATTCTTTGTCATCTTTTTTTATTGCGTTTTATTTTTTATGCTATTGAGTTGTTTCCCGACATTTTGCAGGTTATTGTTCCTTTGTTGGTTACTGAGGATGAGAGAACTCTTGTCACCTGCATTAATTGTTTGACAAAGGTATTACTTTGAGGAATATGGGTTAAATATTGAACTGTTGTAGAAACTTTTGAATATTTGGGGGGACAAAATGGGAATATATTCTGGCGTCGTTTACTTTACGGGACAGGACAGGATAAGCAAAATAGTCTTGAAATATCTTACGTTTACTTTATGGGAATGGGATTGGATTTGCCTGACGTGGCGCATATGTGGAAGGCGGCTCCACTGGTTCATCCATCATTTGCCGATAAATTCATCCCGCTCTCCTCTCGGATATAATAATCTCGCGCTTAGGATACCTATATTGCCCTCAAATTTCGCAGTTAAATGTCCAAAATGTCCCTTAATTTGCATTAATTTACAACTGGCATAGCAATAAAATCTTCACATGTCATTGCCCTAATTTCTGCAGAGACGGGGGCGCCATTGTTGTGAGCTCCACATTCGCCATTTTTTCCTTCATTTCAAATTATGTCGATTTCGTGTTAGATTCGTTTATTAATTCGTTTTCTCTGTCGATTTCTCCATCTATTTCTTCTCCATTTCAATTTCAATTCGATTTTTTTTAAGTTATCGCAATTTGGGTTCCTCCGGAACAAAACGCCATCTCCGTCGGGCATAACTGTGAGCTCTTCCAGGTACTGGTGTAGGAAAACACCTTGACATTCCAGCCTGTTATGGTTTCATTATTTTGGTGCTCATTAAAGGTTACATTTTGTTCAAATTCGGCATATTTTAGTTTTCTCTTCCTCTTCAAATTACTGTTGCCATCGGAATGCCGCCCTCTCCCACGTCAACCACGCCTGCCGTCGACGTCGCCGACCACTCCAAATTACGCTGCTGTGAGTTCTGAGATGAGGGCAAAAATTAGGGCTCGTATTCTATTTTTGAGAACAATGCAATTGTGAATCGAGCATCCAGTCTGAAAATATGAGTAATTGTACCAAGGATAATTCTGTCAAATTGAGCTCCATCATCTAATTTAGTTTGTTATCAGAAAATTGTATCTATTAAAGTAAACATAGGACAATTGCTGGACAATTGCTGACGTGTAAAGTGAGTTGGATTAAATTGTCCAATCCCATACTTCAAAGTAAATGTCGCCTCTGTCTATCCAGATTTTGGAAGTCAGTTTGGTTTCACTTGGATATACAAACTGTTGGATTGACCTTTTACTGTATTCAGCTTGTGGGCAGGCTTTCCCATGAGGAACTGATGGCTCAACTGCCCTCATTTTTGCCTGCTTTGTTTGATGCATTCGGTAGCCAGAGTGCAGATGTCCGCAAGGTAAACAGGGTTTATAATAAACTATAAAATGAAAATTCCAAATATCATCAACTTCTAGTCTTTAAGTCTGTTATAGAATCATCACTTTTGCTAAAATATATATATATATATATATCACTTTTGATGATTTGATTGCAGACAGTAGTTTTCTGCTTGGTCGACATTTATATAATGCTCGGGAAGGCCTTTTTGCCGTATTTGGAAGGGCTAAATAGCACACAACTCCGGCTGGTGACGATATACGCAAACAGGATATCACAGGCGCGGACGGGTATTCCTATAGATGCCACCCAATGACAGAGCTGCCTTTTTTCTTATTGCTTGGTGTGCTGGTTGTGAATTTTGATACTTAATTTTTGTGCATGTTTGTAAATGTGTGTGATATCTCCTCCGAAATTGGGTCAAGCTTTGTCCTTACTTTCTTTACATAANCTGCACACATAAGGCATTGGGTTTGGATAATGTGGAGAAAGAGAACTAAGGTATTTTTGTTGTGTGGACAAACTATTGAGAATGTGCTTATTTGTTTGATTATAATGAAATTATTTTCACTAGTATTGAATTTATCGAAATTGTCACACCCGCTAGAGGTATTAGGCAAGGAGACCACATGTCACTTTACATCTTCATTTTAGTTTCTGAAATCCTCTCTCATATCATTAAAACTGAAACTTGAAAAGGGCTCTTTAAAGGCATGAAGCTAAGTAAGAACAACCTTGTTCTCACCCATCTCCTTTTTGCAGATGATACCTTTTTGTTCAACTCTGCAGACAAAAACTAAGCCCATCTCATTCTCCAAATCCTTAACAAATACAATTCCATCATTGGCCAAACTGTTAATCTCCAAAAATCATCAGTTTTCTTCAGTAAGAAAATACCCCTAGTCATTCAAGACCAAATTTGCCACATTCTCATGGGAATTCAAAAGCAGAACTCTTCTAAATATTTGGATTACCCTTGGGCATAAGGGCTTCTAAACTTCAAACTTTTGCTTACATTGAAAAAGCTGTTAAGAAAAAACTCACTTCTTGAAAAAACAAGTTTTTATCACTTGCAGGTATAGAGGTCTTATTGAAATCAGTCCATGTCATGCTTTCTCCTCCCAAAAGAAATTCAACTCAAATATGGCCAGAATCTTTGCTTCCTTCTGGTGGGGCCAAAACCAACAATCTGACTCCATCCGTTGGAAGTCATGGAATTTACTTACCATGCCTAAAGAAAAAAGGAGTTTGGATTTTCATGAAATCCACCTAATGAACAGAGCTCTTATTACAAAACATTTGTGGAGAATTCATAATAACCCAAACCTTCTTGTCAACAAAATTCTCAAGACAAGATATTTTCCTTCTGGAATCATCATGACTGCCAAGAAAAAGCAGAATGGTTCATGGCTTTGGACCAGTTGGATGAATGCTTTGTGTGACTTCTCCAAGGGTGCTAGATACCAGGTCAAATCAGGAGTCTCTGTTAACATTTGGACCCAGCCTTGGATTCCTAATCTCAAAGGATTCAAACCCAGCTCTGATAATCCAACACGAACCGAACCCAGTCGAGTAGTTCTCTTACGGCGCATTAAATATACGATCACCAACGGGCTAAACTAAAACCCCGAAAACAGATATAACATCCTAATACCAAGAAAAGAACAACTGAACAACTACATGCCATTGCAAAGACAATCATAAGAAGATACCGAAAACAGATATAACATCCTAATACCAAGAAAAGAACAACTGAACAACTACATGCCATTGCAAAGACAATCATAAAAGGTATCTAAGATCATTGATTGATAGCTAGCTAGTAATAATTTAGTTGGAGATGGTGAAGAAGTGGATGGGATCAAAATCAAGACATTTGCTGTGGCCGAGGGGAAAAAAGTCAATACGTACCCCAGCCAAGATGCTCTTGCTGAGTTCCCCATGCTCTCTATAGCGGGCAACATCACAGTGGTGGAGAGCCATTACAAGTTTAGGTTCCCTCGTTCTTCTCCTTATCCCTGCCGTCAAAGTGCAAAACGTGTACTTGCCCCCCAGCTTATTGCCATCGAGAAGCCACACAGAATCAGGAGCCGACTGGCGGAAATCGGGTGCCCATGGCCCCAGCACAAGGTCCAAACATTCATCTCTCCTCTTCAGATCGTAAATGTGAGAGGGCGTCACGCACAGCGTTTTCTCAATCACAAGAAAACTGCCGAAGCTCCTCCGCATGAAAACCGAGTCGGCCCCCAAATAGTGGCCCAGCCTCCGCCAGCCCCTATCAATAGTGTCGAGACGGAGACAGAAGACGGTTTTTTGGCTTTCTGGTGAGTTTCTCCTGGCCGTCTGTATGAAGAAAGTAGTCTCATCCACGAAAGCAAAGTCCATGATGTGGGCCCAAGCATGGCTCGCATCAAAGTAGTCGTGGTGGATTCCCGGGAGCAGAACCCAGGTGTCAGTTGAGGGATCGTACAGCTCGAAACTGTTGCCTCCGGCTACCCGTGTGTCTTCATCGAATTCCATGAGTTTGGAGAAGACGAGGATCTTTGTGCCGTCGGGTGTGGGGATGGCGTGGAGGACGAGCTTTGGGTGGCGCTGGCGGCGCACGGGGGTGAGGTCGGCCGCCCCCAGCTCCACGGTGGTGGTGGGCCGCCGCCGCCCAGAGGCGAGGTGCGGGGACAGGTCAAGCCTGTATGCTGACGTGGAGGGTTCGTGTTCAAACAGATAGAGAGTGGAACCCAGACCACAGGCTGCAAACCGGTTTTCAGTGTGTATGTCGGCGGTTTTGAGGCGGAGGGCAGGCGTGATAGTGATAGTGCTGGGGGATGATGATGATGATGATGATGATGATGATGATGATGATGTTGGTGCAATTACAATGTCGTAGCCGTTGGATGTTGCATCGCTGAACTTGCACACGATGCAGATTTGGGGATCTGATAATTTCTTACGCTTGTATTGGGGCTCTGCCTCCGCCTCCGGCTCCTCGTGTTTAATATCGGAATCCATCATGAGATTGTTAGTTCCGAGAGCGATTTTAGACTTGACCAACGGTAGAGCGGCTGCCTTCACCTTCCCCACGAAGGAATCGGAATATCGCTACTTCCCCCAAAATATTCAACAATGAAAAACCCTAAAGAAAGGCCTTTACTCACCTTGCTTGCTTATCAAGTAAAAAGTACATTCCTGAAAATTAAATTAATTATAAAAATACATTTCTTACCTTCTCCTGAAAAGAATAAATAAAACAAATTTCGATTTTGATTTTGGGAGAATTAATGAATTATGCCTTCTCTTCCGATTGTCTCTGACTGGGCATTATTGTTGTCGGTTTCAATTTTTAGAATTCCTTCCTTCATTACAACCTTAATTTCCGTCAATCAATTGCTGATTTAGTGGACATGGGCTATGGGATCGACTTTCATTTTCTTTGTTCATTTCATATTTTGGGTAATTAAAACTTTCAAGAAGATAGAAGCGGTATATTATTTTCGATATCATTTTTGTGGAAACTAAACTTTTTAGACAGGTGTATGTCTCTTTTAGCCTTAGTTTTTAAGAAAAAGTTCTTAGATCTCAAATTGGGGCTCCTCTTCTTGCCTCTAATAAACTAGAGGCTTTTTTATATTGGATAATACTAGTTTGTTACTGGTTCTTGCATAGCATAGCCACCCCAATATGTTGTAATTACGTATGTGATTAATTTTTAATTGATTATATAATTGATAGAAAAATAAAAACCTAACTACTGACTACATAAAAGTGAAAATATAAAGAAAAAGAATCAAATTTTTAAGTATGTTGATGAGCTGATAACCCATGTTTGAAAATCTATATATATATAGTTACTAGCTAACAGAATTTAATAAAACCTATTTAATTTTACCTATGTGGCAATTTAACAATTTTCCCTCCAAAAACCGTTATATTTTGTTGTATTTAATCTTTCATTTAATCATTAAATAATTAATACTCATCACTTCAAAATTACAAAAATCATTTTAAACTTTTGATTAATGACAGTTGACCATATAATGTGTTGACCGTATAATGTGATTAGATGTTATTATTGTTGTTACATTTAATTTTTTTTTTTGAAAGTAAAAAATATATTTGAAATTCTTAAATAAATAATAAATAATTCACAAATAAAAGACGTACCAAAATATACATTACATCCAATCAGATAAACGCAATTTTAAAAAAAAATATTCCAACTCTTTTAATTGTAAATTTGGTCTGCAAAAAAGTGAAAGAAAAACAATTAATCATTATATGTACAGACTCACAATAATTTATTTATATCTGTGCATTTGCACAAGTTGAATACTAGTAAGTTGTTTGAAACCCTACAAACAATATTCTAAATACATATTTAGATATTGACAAAAGTACTCTAATTAAAACAATAGAAAGTGTTTTCTACATTCAAAACAAGTATGCAATGTTCCCAACGTTACATTAAATGATTCACCTAACAACCCAAAAGCGTAAAAGTAATCTAGTTTGATATCAATACTAGTACGTAGCCAGTGTGATGTACGGGTAAAAAATGTTAAATGAATTATTTTCATATGACCTATCCGTTTAGGTTTGAAAAATAATATAGTTGGATCATATATTTTTCACCTCTTTTGATCTGCGTTGTTTTTTTAGTTATAACATTAAACCTGAGTCTATTAATTATAGTCATTAAATTAACTAATATAGTATCCCGCTAAAATGTATATTAATATTCATTAATATAAAATTAATTTTAGTATATATATTTATTACTTACTATAAAAAAAATAACATGTTTACATATTCTTGTTCACCATATAATATTTAATTTATTATTTTATTATAAAATTTATTGTCATATAATTTCATTATTTTTTTATAAAAGTAATCTTCTTTTTTTTATGTAGTGAAATATTTAATGTATATTAATATTATTTATTAATGTAGTTAATTTAAAAAAGGTATTTTGTATAAATATTTTACATAATATACACACACATTTTATTTAGAATTTATTTTTTTATAATAATTAAACAACTTTGATTTAACAATTGTTAAAAAAAATTATAATCAAAGATTTTCTAATTTTCATCATAAGGCTTTATAGCTTACTTCTTTGACACCCAACCTTTCATTGTGCAATTTTTCCATGGCCACCTTGTCCCGTAACTTTTCTTCTAAAGCCTCTTTTTTAGCCTTCAATCTGATGAAGCATGTCTTTTGGAACTCAGGCAATGAGGGATCAATCCAATCAAAGAAACCAGAATCGTCTAACTGCTACATATCAATTAGAGGAAAAACCTTCATATAAAAGTCATATTTTTATCCACCATTTCTTCATTCCTATTTCAACAAAATTGCTGAAAAATTGTAGAACAAAATACAATAATAAATTACCTTTCTAACACGACACCTGTAGAACCTCCTACATGGATTGTCGTTAGTCATGGTGGTCAAAACATCAGCCTCTTTACCGTGGTGGCACTGCTTCCGCACAGGGTTATTGGATGAAGCGCTATGTTGGGAATTTTGGCGTGTACGAGATGAGGACGGCATTTTCAAAGGATGAAGCTGCGAAATTAGGGCAAAATTTTGGGAAAAAACACAATCGAAAATTTTGGTGATGAAGCTACGAAAATTTCATGAAGAATATGATCGAAAGGTTCAATGGATGTTGATACTTGTACGACTAAATTTTCCGAATAAATTTGTTGTTAGGGCTATGGTGATGAAGCTGCGAAATTTTGGGGAAGAAGACGATCGAAAATTAGGGCACACTTTGAAATGGGGATCGGGTTTGATTTGGGGGGAAAATTTCACGATTTATACCGTGTTTTTTGTTAATTTACCACGTCTGAACTATCAGCAGGAAAGTTGGTCCACGTAGGTAAAATTGGCGGACACACTGGCAATACTGTGACAGTCGTTTCATTTTGGGTTCGGGTTGCAAACATTGGACAAGGTTAGGTTATGCTTGCTAAATTCCAAAAGTTTAGTTAAAACTGCAAAAAGTTGTAAGGTCGTGATATTACCGGCAATTAGGCCATCATTTAATCCTTATACATTTGAGATTCATGTTTATATGGAAAACTTATGATTAAAAATACTGTTGTCGATTTGATTCATGATTTAAAAGACTGTTTTGAAGGTTGATTCAAGATAATTCAATTTAATTTAGTATTTAGACAATTGTTATAAATAGGTCTATTCAATTAAATTAAAGAGAAACTAATCTATTAACCTATTTATTTTTTTTTTCATTTCCAGTATCCAAACTTGCGCCCGACTAGTCTGGACCTCAAGCCTCCGGCCCCTCACAGACTTTGAAGAATAAATCGCGGGATATTCGTGGACTGAGCCACAAGGTTACTATAGTTAAATTATTTCAGAGCCAAAAAGTAGCTTTTGCCACTAGGAATTGGTCATCAGCAGCAGAATTTTCACCTCAGAGGTCATAAGTCTGCCTGTGCCCCAGATGTTCTTATTAATCTAATTCAGTTAAATAGTTCCTTGCAAAAACAAAGTGAGAACGTTTAGTTCACACATTATGCCCCGGATATACTTATTAATCTGATTCAGTTAAATAGTTCCTTGCAGAAACAAAGTGAGAATGTTTAGTTCAAACATTGTTATAAATAGATCAAAGTCGCTAATTGNTCGAAATGATAGAAATATTATAAATTGAAAAGCACAAAAGTGCGAATATACAGCAGCCAACGACTGAATACACAGCAACCAACAGCTGAAAAAAAACAACGAAAAAGGGAGGACAGGTCTTCAGAAGCCCGCCTAGAATACCGGCTAGAAAAAAAAACTAACAAACAACACAAACAACTAACACAACTACAAGACTCCAACAAAGTAATACTCAAGTGTTGGACCCCAACTGGGAATGTCGCTAATTGTTATTGTCCATATTTTGGACTTTTTTCTTTTTTGAAACTTAAGGTCGAAGTAAATAGAAATTATTTATGTAAGTATATATTGGGAAGGCATATTATATGTTTATTGGAAGTTGGAAGGTATCTCAGTGATGCAGAGCAGAGAGAAGCCTTATCTTCCCCTGCAGAAACAAACAAAAGAAATAAAGCAGCATTTGGGGCAACTTGACATACTAAACAAGCATAAAAATTGCTTCCCTTTTTCACACACACATACAAATACTATGCCTTGAAATTTCCTTTTTCTTGGACCACCA